ATCATTAAATTTTTTTTTTTTACAACAAATATGAGCCACCTTTGACCCGATTACCTATTTCTCAAATTAGACCGCACAGTTAGTATTGTCTATATTATTGCAGCGCAAGGATTTGTTCTCATTTTTGCATCCATCTTACTTTTAATATCAATTATCAATTTATTTTGCATATCAATTCTTTGCTACTTTCATTAACAATTTCACATTTCCTTTTTTTTGCTAGTGTTCGATTTCCATTAGTGTCATTACTTTCTATATCAATTTTACTTTTTCATCTACTGCCAGTTTCTATTTTCTTTCAATCTTGACATTTTTTCCTCCTTGTCGATGCTTTCTGTCGGCTTCTTTCATTTCCATTTTAATTTTTCATTTTTTGCCTCTTTTTTATCATCCAACAATTTTTTTGCTATCTTTTTTTGCTTCACTTCGTTAATTGTTTCTGCAGCTATCTTAATTTGTAAAAAATTTGCAAATAATATTTCGTTCATTAATAATTTTATCCTATCCTGTTTTAGTTATTTTTTTCCTGATTAGAAAAAAGAAAAGGAAAATGTTTTTAAAACAAACATTATTATTATAATAAATTGCTAATTAAGCTTTATGAAATTATAAAAAATAGTTCAATAAATAATTTGCATCGGTTGACAAATCTTGAAGTATCGGATGATAAGATAACTTAGTTAAAATTTACTTCGTTCAACTTGGAACAATATCAAAACAAAATAACTTATGTTAATCCGATTTAAATTTCTTCATTTTTCTTTCTTCTCCTTTCAGTACAATGTTTATTAATGCATAATTCATTTCAATAAAAAAAGAATTCGAGAAAAAGAAAATGTTTCCATTTTATCGAATGTGCTTTTTGCAATTAATCAAAATTTTGAAGCATAAAAAGATAGTACATTAAAATACTGCACCATGTAATACATGAATTATTAATTTTCAATGTACATATTATTTCATTTCATTTTACTGGAAAAATTTCACAATTCATTCTTGAATCGCAATGATATTCAAAGAATTAATAACTTATTATGATGGCTTATGTAAAAAATCATTACTAATTTTATCCCATCTGTTTTAGTTATTTTTTCCTTTCTATCGGTTAATTAGAAAAAAAGGGAAAGTTCGGCACCTAATCTTTTTATCAATTTTTTTTGTGAATCTCTTGCTTAATCTAGAAAATGAACTGCTTTTATCATGCAATTAAATTCCATTTTTTAAGATGAATTTTCTTATCTCCGAAATTGCATCAAACTTATTTTTACTGAGACTAATGTCATTCACATTAAAATTCACAAATTTATCTATGATCGTTTGATTTGTTTTTCTTTGCAACTTTTAAGCATATTATTAATATTTATAT